TCGCCCCCCCCCCCCCCCCCTCAATAGGAAAGCCCATAAATTGTGCTTTAGCTTGGGGTGGAGTTGACAGCCAGCAATAACAGGGGGAAAAAAAGGGGGCTTTTATTGCACAATGCAGCCACAGATCAGAACGGGACAAAGTGCTCCGTGCACTTGTCCCCTGGAGGATTCCACAACTATTTGGGAATTATGGTGAGACCTCTTTAAAGGAAAAATAAATTCTTTGGGCTGACACCCCCACTTTGCTGGCATCTAAATAATGTATTTCTAAAAGCATTTATAGTGTTGCCTATTTATACAATGGCACGTGTTACATTATACATACACTCACGTAGTGGAACCTAAAAGAAGTATTAAACACTCATTCTTTTTTCACTAATAGGACTAGATCATATAAACATGCATTGCCCAGCAGAGTATTTATTTCCATTTTTTGCCTAAGCACTTATAGGGATCATGTATCCAAAACAGCTCCAACTCTCTCCCCGAAATTCCCATCCGGTACAAGATCACAAGGGACAGAGCAGTCTCCAAAAAAAAGGTCATCTGCTAGCTTGGAGCAGGGAGGAAGGGGAGGGAGCAGCGGAGTGTGTCTTGCCCTCCTGTGCCTGTCTGTGGAGATACACACGGCTTACTACCGTGTTTCCACGAAAATAAGACACTGTCTTATATTTTTTTTGCCCCCAAAAAACACACTAGGTCTTATTTTCAGGGGATGTCTTATTTTTTTTTTAATGTGCAACAAAATGTACAACAATCTAAAGTTATCTGGTATCACTCAGACTGTCACAGTAACTGGCGCTCTAGAGGAATATTGGCTATTGCGGCTCTGCTCCCTCCGCAGCCTTGCTTTCTACAGCGCCGGCATCCTTTGTCATCAGGGACAGCGATACCAGCGGTGCAGCAGTGGGGACATCAGACAGTGGACAGCGTGGTAAAGTACGGCACCATTTACCGGTACACAGTACCATTACATTAAGCAGTACCTTCAGGGGGACAGCAGTTGGTGAAGTATGGTACTGGAGTGCTCCCTGTCACTGCGCTGTCTGGAGGGAGTCCCCTGTCATCCCCTTAATACAGTATGTCACTGCAGGCTGATACCATCTCTCCTGCAAGTTCCCCCTCACATGCTACCACCAAACTAGGTCTTATTTTTGGGGTAGGTCTTATTTTCGGGGAAACAGGGTAGCACACACATAGGTGACTCCATAGGACCCTTCAAGGGATAAGGAGCCACCCTAAAGCAGAATATTATTAGGTCCAGTTCTAAGGGAACCAGCTGATTCTGCGGGAAGCTAAAACCTTTTAAACATCAAGGAGCAGCATCCATTGTAAAGGATTTCATCAGCATTTGAAATAGCTTTAATATTAAATTATTGACTCTTCATGTTGAATATCACCAGTTGTAGTCTCTCCGTTAAGCGAGGCTGACCACTGTTTTTTTGCATGCTGGCTCACAAAACAATCATCACGAAAGGTGGCATTGACTTTATTTTTATTTTTTAAAGAAAAAAAAAAAAAAAACTCTTACCAATTTGCAACAGAACCGGCGTCACCAAAGCTGTCTCCATGGCGTAGCAGAACTCCCGACCAAACATCACCGCCCCGTTCATGACCCAGAGACGGATAGGGATGCGGTCAATAGAGCTCTCGCTGATAGTCTCATCCCTGCTTTCAGTCTCTTTGGTCTCTTCTTTCTTCAGCTTAGTCAAAGACAGGTCCCGAACTTGCATAGAATTTATATAAATTTGAATACTATATCTCTTCAAAGATAAATAAAGACTTCTTTTTTTGTTCAGCTTTCGTCACGTTCCTCATGCAATTAATACTTATATTCCACTGCATTCAAGTAGGTGTTTTGCCTTTGTCAATACACTTGCGCGAGAGAGAACGGTATTTGGTACTAATTCAAACATATGGCTTAATGGTTTACTGTGAATTAGAGTTAAAAATCCATAATTGCCATTCAGTTAATACCAGTTTCATAATCTCTATAGAAGAAGTGGTAAAACTCTTTGTGTGGCTCTTGCAGGCTGGGAAGGCGACACGAACAGGTGATCCACGGTTACTCCCCATCGAGTGGCTGATTAATCTGCAAACCAAAAACAGACACAAAAAAAGTTACAATGTGAAAGGAGAAAAAAAAAAAAAAGGAGGAAATGTAAAAAAAGAAGGCAGACAGAGAGGGAGAGATCTGTAAGAGGACATCGCAGAGGATACCTTAGTAGGATAAATGGTAGGAAGAGAGAGAGCGCGAGAGAGAGAGAGATGGGGGTACGATGGACGCGAGAGAGAGAAATGGGGGTAGGACAAACGCGAGAGAGAGAGCGAGAGATGGGGGTAGGACGAACGCGCGAGAGAGATGGGGGTAGGATGAATGCGCAAGAGATAAGTGGGACGAAAGAGAGAGAGAGGCATGGGTAGGATAAAAGAGACTGCTGGGTAGCATGAAAGAGAAAGAAAGATGGGTAGGACGAGAGAGAAAGAGAGAGACATGGGTAGCATGAAAGCGAGAGAGATATGGGTAGGACGAAAGAGAGAGATAAGTAGGATGAATGCGAGAGAGATGGGTAGGACGAAAGAGACTGATGGGAAGCATGAGAGAGAGTGAGAGACACACACAGACAGACAGACGGACATCGGAGGAGAGATAAAACAGATGAGGGGACTAAGAGAATCTGATGGAGAGCTAGAAAGCAAATGAGAAAATCCTGCTTATGATGCTCCAGGGTGCTGGCAAGAATCATGGAACCAATGAGTTACAAAGAAGTATTCTGTGATCACAGTTGAAAAACAAAATGTACAATCTCTGATAACTATAATAAAAAAACATTTTAATGTAAAAACACAGCTTTGTTTACATTCAGCCTGTCTGCAGTCAGCCCTGGAAAGCATAAAAAAAAGCAGCTATCTGCATATTTGACCAGTGTGAAATTTTGACTGCTGTATCCCTGCTAAGAAGATATCCCATAACTTCCTATTCCAGTGACCAATTATCATAGAGACCGTAAAATAATCAAACTCTCAATGTTTTTTTTAAAGTGATTGGTTAGGTCTGGGGTTCATCTGTTATGGAGATTTCCCAATACTTCCTGCCTCAAAAAGACATGACACACACACACACACACACTGCATCACAAAAACTTACTCCACCCCAATCAACTAATTTGAAGTTTCATGCTAATCAGGAAGTATTGGTACACACTCTCTCGGCGGACCAGCAGAGAGCGTGGGACACTTATGTTTCTGTAGAAGAGCTGGCAAGCACCAACGAATGAGAGTTATTTTAAATGCTTTTATGAATAAATTGTCGAGCGGTTTCACGCTATGCGTCCTCTCCTTTTCATATACTGCGCTGAGTATCAAGATGGTGAAGTAATGGACGGCCTGATGTGGAAGACATCTTAAAAGGGGACTACAGGACATGGATATTCAACAGTTTCGTATCCTGTGTGTCAATCGCCATAGAGAATAACATAGACAACGGCACTCCAGTAATGAATCAATGGCGTCTGTTTATTGACACATGAGACGTAGCGCAATGCATCAAAAAGCCACGTTTCGGGGTCTCACAAGATCCCCTTCATCACTCATTTTGCCTCTACTCTTCAGTGCCTGGATGAGGATGGGCACTCTATGTCAGCATGTACAATGCAGAACATTGGTGGCTACATGTCTAATATTGATGTTGGAGAGAGTGGCGATAACAAAATGGGTTGGAAACTGCCAAGAAAAGTTGAGGAAGGGGGGTGGGTGGTCCTCAAATGGAACCAATCGGGAGAAACCAAATGGGGAGGAACCAAACTGCAGGACCATGGAGTAAAGGAAGTTTTACTCTGTGTTGTATTACCCTCCAGGAAAAAAAACAAGCAATACATTCTTCATCTGCTTGGGTGTGGGACAAAGTAATGTTTTCTTAGCATTGCCCGGAGTTGGCCATAAGCCCTCGTTCACACCTGAACGTTTTGTAGCGCGTTCTACGCTCGACGAACGCTCTACAAAACGCTCAAAAATATAAATCCCATTGTATTCAATGGTCTCGTTCCCACCTTGGCGTATTTCCGCCCGTCCCTAACGCGCTACAAAGCGGCCCACGCCTGAAAAGGTACAGGTACTACTTTGGGCCGTTTTGTTGCGCGTTTCCATTGGGATACAGCCAAGTAGCCTTCGGAAACGCGCGTTTGTGGCGCAACTTTTTTACCGCGAATGGCGACAGACGCGCATATGCAATACGCCTAGGTGTGAACCAGGGCTTACAGTGTTAGTCCGTATAAAAATAGAAATTGTACTTACTGGTAGATGCTGCAGATGGGACACTAGCAGTGAGGTCTCTCGAAATCCTGGCTTTACACACCTGATTCAGCCGTTATGAATGGGTTACCCCACTCTCCCTACTGGATAGCTATTTCATATTGCAGAGAAGGCTCCACGAACAGTGGGAACACCTCCACCATGACAAGGAGATCTCAATGCTGGAGTCCTCAAGAGCTATAAGACGGTGACTCAGTCTCCACCTACAATTAAAACTATAACATTTTGGTGGGCTGACCCTTTAGAGTAGCCAGGAGGCTCCCACATTTTTGACCGTATCGCAGTCATATTACTTCATCTTCCTGAGTACAGTGTGGTGACGCAGAACACGCATTTAAAAAAATCTTTTAAAATAGAATCAGCGAGTAATCTTCCACCCAGGACGAGGTGAGCTCCATCCTTTCTATTCTACACAGCCTGACTCAGAGCTGACTAATGTTATACGCCGTATTCTTTCCTCGGTCCCAGTGCACAGGAAGCACGGAATTATTGTGATGATTATTAGAGGAAGGGCGAGAAAGTCTAATCGTATTCACAGAGGATACAATGTTGAAAAGCGCATTCACCAGAAAACGCATATCTCGCACACCACAGAGAACATTTAACCAATTAAGGGCAGGTTCACACTGGAGCAATCCGCAACCAGCCGGCAATCGTGCACGAAACCGCACGGATGGCCACGGAATCGCACAAAACCGCCGATAGCGCTGGGAGGTGCCATTATTTTCTAATGGCAGCCCAACCACGACAGGCAGATCGCGTGGGATACCGGCCATGCAATGACGGTTAAAAAAACCGTGCGGTGTGTGGCACAAAAAAAAGCGGTACTTGTACCTTTTTTTCAGCGATTGCCACGTGGATATAACCCCATTGAAATCAATTGGGCCACACGGCAATCACTGTGTGCACTCACATACGATCACGCGGTCCCGGGACCCGCATCCCGGGATCGCCGGTATCTGATCCAAGCCTGAAACTGAAGTCTATCCTTGCTCACGTCACCACCACCACCACCCCTCCCCCCCCTTCCATTTACAGTTTACAGGCCAATAGATTTTTAAATAAAACTTTTCCATTTTCATTACATACATCACAGGGTCTCTGTGCTTCTCTACGTGCTTCTGAATTGAGAAAGCTGGTCAAATGACCAGTGAAATGTCTTCAAGAAAAACAACAGCAAGTCCTATTGCCTTGATTTATATGTTACAGATAAAGATATAAAAGAAGATCAGGACACATGAGACATCATTTTCTCACATGGATTGGCCACCACAGGAGTACAGACCTTTGGAGAGTCCAGAATCTTTGGGATGTGCTGGAGAAGACTTTACAAAGGAGGTCCGATTCTCCCATCATCACTACAAGATCTTGGTGAAAAATTAATGCAACTCTGGATGGAAATAAATGTTGCGACATTGCATAAGCTTATCAAAATGATGCCATGGCGAATGCGTGCCGTAATCAAAGCTAAAGGCGGTCCAATGAAATAGAATGTGTAACTTTTTTTGGCCAGGCAGTTCATAGATACGATGTGCTGCCCTTTCTATTGTGTTTTAGAGCCCCGTGTGCAAAAATATTTTAACAATATCAATAACTAAAAAAAATTTACAAAAATACGGCTTTCAATAAACTCCGATAGGTAGCAGAAAGCATACGTCAACCTGAAACGGGCCATACACTGCGGACTATTGCTAACCCGTATCGATAAATGGCAGTCCAGCTTCCTTCTTATAATATATAGAATGATAAGTATTTTGGTTCAGAGTCAGGATGTCACTATCTGGACACATGAAACAAGAATAGTGGAATCAACAACTTCCTCTATTGTTCTGTTTATGAACATAAAGGGCGACGGCTGCCAGATCATGTGACTTCCCTCTGGACTACAGATTAACAGTCATTGTCCAGCACATTTTATAGCCCGCGGGACTCCAGCCATCTTGTTCTGTATCTGCTGTCGGTACCAAAAATGTTCTAACAGAGACCTACAGACAGCTGCACGTGGGCTACAGCTTCCCTGGTATATGGGCTAGTGGGCCTTAGCAATGGGCCACCTTTGTGGTCTTGCAGATTTACAATTTCTTCTTTAATTGCAAACTGGAGCACCCAGTCCCTCATTCCTCCTCTCCTGATACTATCTGCTTTGTAAAAGCGTCAGGCAAGCTAACAGCAGACTCAAAACTCCAAAAAAGGTCAGAGATGGTCAGTACGATGGGTTCATTATCTACACTGCTGCTTCCTCACATTAATACAAAAGCTCCTGAGTTTTGGGAAATTATCTTCAGCCCCAGTGTCCTTTAATGTAATCTGCTACCCAAATGGTATTGGAGAACAATCTAAGAAGCTTCGGAGATCCTTCTGAGTTTTTGACCTGACCTGCTTCTTCTCCTTTTTTCAATCAAGCTGCTTTAATATTGCCATTGACTTGTATGGGGAGAAAATCTGTTCTGACTTGAACGCATGTGCATAAGCCCTAATGTTGGTGCCCAGGGACACCAGCTGGCCGACTGGTTTTTCAAATTTGCAGGTCTTATTTACATTTGCGCAGTTTATTAATGTTCACGCGTTAACATGGGTTGCATTAAGGCAGACCGTTGAAATGATGAGCGTCTAAGGCACCAAAATGTCTCAAAAATCAGATGCATCACAAAATTTTTGCCGCAATGTGCATTGCCTGGGTGCGTTGCAGTGCTACTCAAAATGGATGGCACCACATCGTGTCAACACATTACCGTATGCTGCCAGTCACTGCAGTAACACGTGCGCATTCATGCATACATG